TGACAATTGACAAATGGCATGTATATAATATGACAGCTGACACTTGTCAACTTGTTGATTAGTATATTTTGTTTTCATTGCACTATCGATCTATATATTCTTATTAAATCCTGTTTTCCTTACAAATTCAAGAGTTGATTATTTATTAAGATTATTTAAAACATTGCATTGTCGCAACATTGCTATGTTTATTTAATTTTTGTGTAAAAAATTGTGGCAGGATTTTTATATTTATAACTGTGGTCACTTGGACTTCAAATCAAGTATAATCAATATTTGCTCACTGTACCGATTCTGAAAATCTTCAAATGATTCTATTATTATCTTAACTGACGTTGCGTGCACATAATCACCAACATTTACATACTATAAGCACCAAAGAGTTGATTTGTAATTGCTTTAATAATAGACTCCACTATACGGCAATTAAACGTGAAATTAGAAGAATTAGACCGAGTTCTTAATCGGAATTAAACCTGTCAGTTTCTAACTAAAACCAGGTAAATAGAAAAGGGTTCTATGTCGTGTAACATATAATTATTGGGGATCCAAAATGCGTTGTGGTTTTCATGTTATTAAATAGAATTTCGGGCAAATGTGCTTATAATGGTCGGCGAATGATATAGTCCAAGATAATTGTGTTATGACTTTGTGCAGTATTTTTTTGGCAAACGTGCCTTCTGTGGGTGAGCAATTTTAAATGGATATTTTAATAGAAATAATGAATGGTTTTGTGACATTTTGATGGTGCAAAATAGAGATTTATGAGAGCAATTTGGTTACAATGAAATGTTTGTAATTATTAGGGAGACGATTTAGGCGTGTCTTTTGATTGCTTTGTTCGGTGGATAGTTTTGGGATTTCCGAATCTGGGATTTCAATGGGGTCTCCATTGATATCCCATTTTTACCATGGCTTTGAGTCTATTAAAAAATAAATCAATGGCGCTACAACATTTTTAGGTCTGGGCCTCAGATTTATGTATCTGTTTCATGATCATTTGGTAATCTAATAGGCAAGTAGGATCAGTCTTCTATGCCTGACGCACGCCGTTAACTTTAAGGGTCTAAGGCAAGCCGGTTTCCTCACGATGTTTTCCTTCAACGTTCGAGCGAATGTTAAATGCGCACATAGAAAGAAAGTCCATTGGTGTACAGCCGGGGATCGAACCTGCGACCTCAGGGATGAGAGTCGCACGCTGAGGCCACTAGGCCAACACTGCTCAGCTGAGTCGTATATTAGTGCTTAAATAATTCTTATAAGCGCGGATTATGTTTAAGTGTGACAAAATCTGTTTACAAGTGATAAATATGCCTAATATTGAATAAGTCATTGCGATGAAGTTTAGCTGTCTTCGCGGCGAAATGGTTTACTTATAAAGCGGGTTTGACTCCCGCTTAAACAAAATTAGCTAACACAGTCATGTTCGTTCACATTAGGTATGTACTTGCTTTAATAAGACGTAATATATCGTAAGCGCGTATAGGAACCTCAAACAGCGCCAAAGTATGAAATATTCAATTTGAATACCCAGAGTATTATATAATAATAATAATATAAGCGTTTATTCAGACAAGATACAATTTTACTTAAGCTAGTATATACATGTTTAGTATTGAAGAAATTCACTTAAATATAGTTAATATTTACATTCCCTCAACAACCTTGTCTGTTTACATTTTGTTGGCAAAGGCCTCCTCCAAATGCCACCATAAGTTTCTGACCTGGGCTGTTCTGGTCCATGTACCACATGCCACGGCTCTTATTTCATCAACCCACCTTAGGAATGGTCTACCCCTTTTCCTCTTCATGTAACCTGTGTACCAATGCATTAATGACTTGCTCCGTTTTGACGGTCCTCTGATGGTATGCCCACTTCCATTTTAGTTTTTTAATCGTAATAGTTACATCTTTTGTTCTTGTGTGATTTTTTATTGTTGATATGTTTATTCTGTCAGAAAGTGTTTTCCTCATCATGCTTCTATTCATTGCATTTTGACATGTTTCAAGTTTTTTGGTTATTGTTTTTGTTAAGGTCCAAGTTTGACAGCCGTAAGTCAATATAGGCAGAATCCTCGTGTTGTAGAGTTTCCTTTTTATATCCATACTAATTTCCTTATTTTTAAATGTTTCCTTCAAACTCCAGAATCTTTTCCTATGCGTCTTTCTATTTCCATTTCCACTCTAATAAAATCTGTAATAACTCTAATCGATCTACTGAAATAACTAGAAATACTTTATCAGCAATATTCGTATTCGCAAAAAAGTTCGATAAAATTTAATTTAAAATGGGACAGGCTATTTCGTAGGCGCCACTCGTCCTTAGATCAGCCGTCAACTAATCAAATGTAACCAACTATTATATCGCCATTTCTCAAATCATAACCACTTAAAACAGTTGGTAATTGAACGTCTTGTCTTATAGCGAGGGTTGTTATAAGTTTATATTTAGTATTATATTTAAGACCTTAAGACTGAACCTTAGGTGGAGATTTATAAACGGGACTTACTCCAAAAAACAAACCAGTGGCGCTACAACCTTTTAGGTCTCAGCCTCATTTTTGTCTATGTCTTATGATCATTTGTCAATCTAATAGGCAAGTAGGTGATCAGCCTGCTGTGCCTGACACACGCCGACTTTTTGGGTCTAAAACAAGCCGGTTTCCTCACGATGTTTTCCTTCACCGTTCGAGCGATTGTTAAATGCGCTCATAGACAAAAAATATTATGGTACGGATCGAACCCTACGACCTCAGGGATGAGAGTCGCACGCTGAAGCCGCTAAGTCACCACTGCTCCACTTACTTATTCCCGTATGTCAAAATTCAATACATTTATAGCATATAGAAGTCTGACTCAACGCCAAGTCTCATCAGGCAGAGGCATTTTAAAACCTGAAGTGCACCACTGGTTTTTACTTTCTATGTTCGTAATATACTGTGAAGGAAATATCGTATATGATCAATAAAAATTACTATCTATTAAGAAAAATCGTAAAACAAATACATAGGTACATTTTCTATATATTTTTCTTTTCATATTAAATATATATTCATTTATGTGAATTTTGGATCTTGACGGCGGATTTCCTTTAGGTAAATTAATTTTTTTATTGGTTCAAACGTAGTATTAACGTATTTCAAGACTCGCAACCATAACGAATATGACATTAAATATAAAAATAGATCTGTAAAAAATGTATAAATACTTCCAAGATTTAACAAAAAAAAATTTCACTCCCGTATCTTTTTAACAAACAAATGAACGTAATAATAAAATAAATGAATTTGTTATGTTCATTTATTTAAGCTATACGTTTTTGAAAGAACTCGTTGGAAGCTTAAAGATTAATATTTACTGATGATTTCTATGAATGGTGTCGAACCCACGGCTCGGCCGTAATTATGCAACTGTGTATCACACCCCTATCATTATAACAAGGGCAACCGTTAATTTTTTGCAACATTTATGAATGATTTTGTTATTTCTTTGTATTTTACGATACAAAAAATTTGCAGTGGTTTTTATATTAGTTCAAATGCTATTTAATTATTGGGTTCATTGTGTTGGATTTTTCTATTATTTTTAGTCTCCTATAGCCATTTAGTCGTTCGCGCAGTCAGTTTGAAAGGCAATCATAGCACTATTAGAACAAACTATTGTATAGTTTATATGACCCAGTAAAAGGTGGATAGAGGATATAGAAAGCGTCAACAGGAAGCGAATGGAGAAAGAAAGCCATGAATATTTGGAAAAAGCTGGAGGAGACTTGTACCCGTGATGGGGTTCCGATCAATGGTACTCAAGGAAGTTAGAATATCGAATAGCAAGAAAATAAATAGGTATATAACAAATCTAAACTGTATATTCAGCATTTGTACAGATTTGATTTATTATTATTATTATCATATAGTTTTCTAAGACAAGTATTTATATACAGTAATATTTTCCCCATTTTCCATTATTTCAATGATCCAGTATTGTCCAAATACTGGATTCGAACATTAACACAAATACGACATTCCAGTTAAATTCTTTGCGCCGAGACCACATGCGTCAGTCACTTAGCCACGTAAATGGTGAAACGAAGACCATATTTTTGAAGGACGTATTCGAACAGTAACCGTATGAGCAGGGTTGGCTACAGCGTACGACTCTCATCCCAGAGGTCATAGGTTCGATCCCCAGCCTTGCATCAATGGACTTTCTTTCTATGTGCGCATTTAGCATTCGCTCGAACGGTGAAGGAAAACATCGTGAGGAAACCAGCTTGCCTTAGATCCAAAAAGTGTGTGTGTCAGGCACAAGAGGCTGATCACCTACTTGCCTATTAGATTGACAAATAGTTATGAAGTACTGTACAATCTGATAAATCTTAAACTAGGATGTTTCGAGTAAACACACTGTTCAAAACTGTCGCATCCTTAATCGTGAGATATTTACATCACGATTTTTATATTAGACACATGCGGACATACATATAGTGTGCCCGATAAATGACTGAGATACCACTCATAGGTGCTTTAAACTACCGTTCATAGTTGTTTTTATTATGATAACGTAAACACGTGCGGAGATTGTGATATATGTTCTGTTCCCGTCAAGTTTTACTATGCTAGCAAAAGGGAACCCTTGGTACAAGGTTGTTCCAGCAATAAATAGTATATTCTGTAGAGAATATTAGAAAAGTAATCGGTTTCATATTTTTCCCTTTATTTATTGGCGCTTATAATTCATATTTTAAAAGACCGGCAACGCACTGGCGAGCCCTCTGCCATTGAGTGTCCATCGGCGGCCGTAGCACTTAACATCAGGTGAGCCTCCTGCCCGTTTGCCCCCCGTTCTATAAAAAAATATTTATTTTACATATGTTCATAACGATGTGTTACCGCCAAAAATCATTTTAACTAATCAAAATCAACAAATCCACCCATTAATATCACAAATTTTTAATTCACTGTATTTAAATTGCGAATGTATGTTCTTTTCTCGTAGGTATCTCAGAAGAGTCTGGTCACAACACAGGAATGTCGTGGTCCGCATAGATCAGCCACCAGCCAACAGAGCAGCGTCTGTAAAATACTGCAACAATAAAATGAGATTTTATTATCTAGCCTAATAGCCAAAATAACCAAATATCGAATACCTGTTATTCCGTGCAAGTCTAATAACAGCCTAAAGAAGAATGTGTACTTGTTGCAAATTTGGATTATTCGTTTAGGATCACCTGTATTATCCTAGCCGAAAAAGTTTCTCAAATCACCTGGCCCGAACACCCAAAGCATTAAGCTCACGACCTGCCCGGGGCAAAGATGCTTATTAGGGCTGAACCACGCACCTGTGTGAATATTTTCATAATCCTTCTAATTAGAGGTTTGCAGTTGTTCCCAAAGAACGCCGAAAGCAAAACGGTTGAGCCTTACTGTGGAGGCAATAAATTGTTCGACATTTGACCCTAAGTTTTTTTTGGAATTCGCCCTCTGGCTGTCTCGGTTTGGGAAAGTCTAAAGAGTAGATTCATTAGTCACGAGACACTGCATAGATTATATAAAACGAGAGAAAGTTAATGAAAAGCTTTTCTATAATATATCAACTTCATTTTGTTACTATTATTGTTGTGTTAAGTTAAAAGTATTTAAGGTTTACCAAACGGTTTGACTTAGAATTCCTTACAGCGTTTAAAATGTGCAACGTCAAGTAATAACAACAGAAGTGCGACAAATGTTTCGATACAATTAGATTAGTCCAAAACCAACCAACCAATAATTAAAAATTGCAAATTTAAATCCACATAAAAATGTCGAGTTAAAACTATTAAACCACCACAAAAGCTGCATCAATCTTAGCCCTAATAACAAATGCGCGAATCATAAAACAATTTCCCCCGACAGTCCCACATAAATCCAGGGCCGAAGCTTGCTCTGTGCCCACTAATGTCGAATATATTTATCGCGGCGATCGTCAACTACCTTCGCCCGAGGGCTACCCGCCTCGCGTTCAGGTTCCCACGTGTTCCGAATGCTTGGATTGCGTGCGACCTCTTACACCAATCTCAAGACGACCAACGCTAAATCTGTATCATTATCGTAAACATCAACAGTTCCAGCACCATCACTTTTATCCTCTCTACTTCGTTTGTCTGTGACTTTTCGATTAGCTGCTGCAGTAGATCTACTGTTCGCTTCAGGCATTCTCACCTTCGACTTTTACCGTGGGATCATATTTTTTTGATACGGCTACGTAGGTCACGTACGGTGGTGATTATTTGTGATGAAATAATTTAAAGAATGGTACTACTTGCAATCGTATTTTGATTGATCCTTTCAAAAGCTATTAAGGAAGGATTATTGAGACTATTATAATAGTTGGTAATAGCAGCTCTTAGTAATGACTATGCTAAGCCGAGCGATTACAGGCGTTTACCGAATTATTCGGTTCGATCACTCACTGTTGTATCGGGAATCAGGAATTTCTCCGGAATGTCAGACGGTGTAATAATACTGTCTGCTATGAAAGATGTGGAATTTTAATATAAGTATTGTACTTAATGGAAAAGAATGTTTAAAGTACATCGGTTAATGGTTTTCAAATTCATACGATTAACATTCCTAGAGCGTTAATAGAAAATTGTAGAAATATCTTCGCAGCGTGTACTCATTGTCCGTACTTTAATCTTGTTGAAATTGATACATCATTACTTACTATTAAAGATTACGAAACATTTAAAACGGCTTTATTGTATTTACTTCTTGTTTATACGTAAATGTCCTAAAAAGTAGACAGACAAGACAAAACAGTATGTATAAATAAAAACTCAAACTAGTCTAAAAGAAATCGTAATTGTATTTTAAATGTCAAATATTGCTAACTGTGCTCTGTGCGTTTCACTCTCATTAATTTGGTCGTAGTTTTAAAAGTACTTATTATTTATATTGAATCCAGTATTTTGTAGATGTCTCACATAGTGTTCGGTGTCAAACCTTGACCTTGACAAAACCAAACCTTATTCAGACAGCAAAAACACAAATTCAAAGGATTTTCAAATTAGATGTAGTCGTCACATATATACATTTCAGCGTTTATTTACATAGATTAAGTGCCAATTGGTCTAGTGGTTAGTACTCATTGGTCTAGTGGTTAGTACCCCTGACTGCGAATCCATGGGTCCCGGGTTCGATCCCCGGCTGAGACAAACATCGATGTGATGAGCATTTGGTGTTGTCCTTAGGTCTTGGGTGTTTTAATCTGTATTTATATGTCTATCTATCTATAATATGTATGTATATCCGTTGCCTAGTACCCATAACACAAGCTTCACCAGCTTAGCATGGGACTAGGTCAATTAGTGTGAATTGTCAACAAAAAAAAATTATATATTATATATATAAATAATTATATATATTATACTAGCAGACCGGCCAAGCGTTGCTGTGGCTAAGGTTTTTGTTATATTACATAGTAGCAAACTATTCAAGGGAAACGGTAGGAGAACACCAGTCATGGGGACCACCATGCTTTTTTGGTGGTTATGCCAATTACCTATTAAATTGTAGCTTATGTGAAACGTTACTTTCAACACAGCGCCATCTGTTAGAATTGTGACTATCAAATAATAAACAAATATATGGCAATAAAATAATATTGCGGGTATAAATTGAGATGTAAGCTATCCTATCTTTTAAGTTAGATCAAACTACACACGGTGTGCAAATTTGATTGATATCGGTTCGGTAGTTTAGGAGTCCATCGCGGACAAACAACGTGACACGTAATTTATATATATTAAGAAGATATATGTACTTCAAATCGACTTCGAAATCTTTTTAATATTCAATAACAAAGACGAATCCAACATAATATTATCAAAATCCATCCATAATAGTGTTTAACATGACCTTATCAATACAATATAGATTACATTATAGTCAAAAACAATTGCCCTTTATTAGCAACACATCAATTTAAAAATCGCTCTCAGTCGACTACAATTTCCCCCAATCACCTTTTTAAAACAGAGTCCCTAAAACACTTATTGGAAATCGCCCCGCCCCTTGCTTGATTCGTTTCAGCCTACTGCCAATTAGGGTCAATTTTCGGCTAGCTCAAAGGTCCTGGAGACCACAGGACGGTAATTAAAACAAACAGGATCAAAAAGACCCGCTCCAGGCGCCACGGGGAGGTGAATTTCGTCTCGCCGTCGCCGCAAGCCTTGAAGCCCCTCATTATAAACTTAATCTAATTATTGAATTCGTACAATGTTGTGTTTACATTTTTTTCTAATTTACTCCACTATACTTTGGGATGGATGCGTAAGCGCTAAATGGCACGTTTAGGGCAATATATCATACGAAATGGAGTCACTGTGCGCCGGCGGTGATTTTCTCACGGTATATGACTTTTGCCTCTATATAATGTGCAGCGATTAACTAGTAATATATTTTTAGTATGAGTGATGGGGTTGGAATTTTAATGTAATACGAATTTTGGTATGGTAGGAGCTTAAGTAAATTTCGTTACGTTGTTCCGTGTTGACAATAATTAATAGTGTAGGGTGATAATTGATCACAATTAATTCCTGTGATAGCAAAAAAATATAAAATTAAAAAAGCGCTTCTATTGCTTTCTAGCGCTTCAAACGGGAGGGCTTCTACAAAAAACTTCAGAAATAATTCCGGAGTTGTTTTAATATTTCTCGGTTGAACCATGAACAATCTGAATTAGAAAAATAATATATTACATTGAAGTTACTAAGCAAATAAGTCTTTAATTTGGATTCTTAGAAAAAATTAAGGAAACTGGTGCAGTTCTTTTTTCACAAAAAGTTCGTGAGAAGATCCCGGACCGGGGGTCAAACTAGCGACCTCTGTGGGCAAATTACAAGTCGGCGACGAACGTGATCAATTTGACAGCGATTTATCATATGACATGTAATTGTGCGCTATCCATGGACAATTTTGTGATTCATTTGTTCGTAACAAAGCTTGGGCGGATAACATTCTATGTCCTGTTTTGTTTCTGGTCACGCACTTTTGTACTCTCTCGGTTCGAGAAACTACAATTATCCGATTTTGAAATTCGTTCGTAGAGTAATGAGGAAATGCGTTAAAAAGGTTGTTTGTTCACTATTCACGAAAGTGAGTTGTAAAAGTTCATTCGTAATCCTACACTACTGCATAATCCCTAAATAGCCATTAATGTCTTTGAACCTATTGTGTTTAAACATTATTTATTTGTATATAAAGTAATGAAAGGGTTACACCACGCAAAAACAGATACAGTAGGTACTATAACTATAGAATATTGAATGACTTAGAAATATCATATGACCAAGAAATTACTAAGAAAACTTCATGATGAAAAACCACAACGAACGAATTTTAAACCGACTTTAGAAGGAGTATAATACCTATATTCTAATTAAGCTTTATATTCCATGTTCTCATTAGGTGCTAACTTTATTGATAAAAACTAAATCATCCTGAAACTGTTTTAACTAAACTAATAATAAAATATATAGTTAAATCAGTATTAGTCAAATAGGTTTATAAATAAAGGTGTACCTTGTATGAAAGGTTGCTGGGATGAAAACCGCAGGCGCATAATAAATGAATTAATTTGTGCCAGTAAAAACCAGTACAAATACAATTAACATTTTCTAAGTATTTAGTAAAACTATCTATCTAATAAAAATAATATGTGAGAACTATTTATTATGTAACAACTTTAAAGAATATTTGAAAACAAAACCTATTTTTATATGAATCGTGTTTAGTACCTACAACCATAATTCATTATCACAATTTTATTCGATGCACAGTATTAAGCGTTCGAAATTTGAAAGCTTAAGTAGAGAACACGAAACATGTAGCATTATCTATGTACTCTGGTGGCTAGCCGCGGAACGGGCTTGCAAATAAATTACACCGTTGAATATGCATTAGCAGTACGCATATCTACTGGACGTCATCAGTGGGGTCATACAGTGCATAATCAGTGTTATATAACAATCAGATATGTGCAGGCGTGGTAGGCGAGTTCCGTATTCTAAATTCAAATTGCTTGCTTCACGCTATGTAAGGTATATATATATCAATGTGTTTAGTCGAGTTTTATTGATTTGAGAACTCTTTGATTTATTCGTACTTCAAGTTTCACGTTCACTGGTATCTAATGAATAAATAAATAAATCAGGTAAACAACCTTTTTAGGTCTGGGCCTCAGATTTCTGTATCTGTTTCATAATCATTTGTCAATAGGCAAGCAGGTGATCAGCCTCCTGTACCAGACACACGGCGTCGACTTTTTGGCTCTAAGGCAAGCCGGTTTCCTCACGATGTTTTTCTTCACCGGTCGAGCGAATGTTAAATGCGCACATAGAAAGTCCATTGATGCACAGCTGGGAATGGAACCTACGTCCTCTCAATGCCAGAGGGTTCGCGAGTGCGTTGCTGGCCTTTTAAGAATACGTACGCTCTTTTTACTTGAAGGACCCTAAGTCGAATTAATTCGATAATATTTCAGTGGGCAGCTGGTTCCACAGAGTGGTGGTGCGCGGCAAAAACTCCCTTAAAAATGCTGAGTTGTGGAACGACGGCCGTCAAGGTTATACGGGTGGAATTTCGTATTCTGCGTCGACCTCCGATCTTAAAACTTATCTGCAGGTATTGATCCGAACAACTACTCCAAATACTGTCCGTGGTAAATGTGGTAGAAGATCCAGAGAGGCTCCACATCTCTGTGCAACGCCAAGGGATCAAGCCGCTCGGAAAGGGATTGATCTTCGACGATTCGAACCACTCTTCGTTGAATACGGTCAAGTGGAACGCTTGCAATTTCAATATACTTCTTCCAGTATCCAAGGCGATGATGAACTTGGAAAACGGTATAGATACATTAAAGTCGGAATCGTAATCAATGTTGGTTACATATAACCGATCCCAGTGAGAGCATTCAACTCTTGCCTCGATCATCTAGAATGTTCTGAAAAGATTTTTCTACTAGATTGAATAAGAAATCCCTAAATACGACTTCAAAATTTACAGCTTACCTCGCTTAACGAATAAGTATCGCAATACAGCGGGGAAATGCCAGCAGCCAAGCTTTTTAAATTTATTTTAGTTTTATTATTATTTATTTATTTTATTATTACTATGTTGGTAAAGAATATTGTAAATACTGTATATAATAATAA